TCCCCCCCCCCCCCCCCCCCCCCCCCCAAGAAAAATCCCTCCTCCAACCATCACCCTTGTCTTCTCGAGGATCTCGTTCTAAATGTATAGACCTACTGCAAGGTAGAGTACAAGAGGAAGAACAAGATACAGAGACAGACAGACAGACATACATACCTAAAGACACACACACAAACACACACACGCACACACACACTCACACACACACGTACGGTCAAACATACAGACGCACAGACACACAGACACACAGACACAAAGACAGAAGAACAAACAAGTTGTGAATCTTGTGAATTATTGTGTATCAACGAGTGCTGTGTTACGTCTCTATTTAATGCTGCTGAGAGAAAAAAAAATGTTTGGTTTGAATCCCCCCAACAATGAGAAAATCCCCTTGATACGCTGTATACTCACTCTATGTTACTATCATTGTTGGATATCAGGTTGTTTCCTATTAATGTCAATAGCACAAGTATAATATTAAGCGAAAGGTTTCGCATCAAGAGACCAGGGTGTCAAAGCAACAGGATCGTGAACGGTGCGATAAAACACGCGAGTCGGATGCGGGGAACTGAATACATAATACTGCCTCAAATCTCGGATCAGACGGATACGACACGGGCAAAGCAAACGAGAGTGTTGAAAAGCGAATTGAATATTTGAGTGATATCAGCATAAATGCTGGGGTAAACGGAACTGAATATTTGTACAAATGATGCTGTGCTCTGGGGAGTGACGTTTTGTAGGGTGCTGTCGAGAGTGTTATGTCGAAAAGCTATTTTTTCCTGCCACAGACGGGGAGGCGTCTAGAGATTTCGATTCTGAGCCTAAGTATTACGTCATTGGGAGGGTCTGTGTGAGCTGTTCACAAACGTTTAAGTCCCCTTTATCTTCTAGCACTTTTCAAAATACGAATTTGCTCCTGCCTCGTTTCGAAGAGCAATTCCAATTTATATATCCGTTGGAGTGTATTGATGGACAAACTCTTTGTGATTTGACTGTTTTATATAATTATTTTGGCAACACTCTACAGTGGAATAAAAACAGCACATGTGATAAGACAAAGCATCATTACACATTTCACCTATGTCCGTTCATTTTTTTTAAAAATCTGTGCGCAAAATACGAGCGATAGTGAGCTTTACAAAATTATTTTGATAATGCAATTGCAATTTTTTTTTAGGAGCATACAATTGGGACTCTGTGATCGGAGAAGAGAATGAATGAACTTACGTGTAATTTTGTTTAATTCGGTGGTGGTGGATGAGTGCAAACAGTGAGTGATCAAGAAACAATAGAAAATACTGAAAGCACACATAAAAACAACGTTATGTATTGGACTATAATAATACGAGGCTTTATTTTTGTGTTTATATTTGGAATTAGAAAGCATTGTCTTTTTTTTTATCCAATACTTTTTAGTTTAAGTATCGTACCGTTTTGACAGATTCCAATACAAAATGTATTTGCCGTTTCTGTGTGTTTCGTTCTGGTGTTGTCAGAATTTCGTTGTCATTTATTGTTACTATAGATTTCTAGAGTGAGCAGCAGTTCTCAGAGGCCACGAAAGCTGAGACCAGCCCCGACGACATAGCTGCGCGCGCTCCGATCACGAGATGGCGCTGGGTGTCTGGCGGCGGAGGACAGCGAGCACTCACCTTCACAGACAGCCACTCGTACACCCGTGAGCTCATGCGCGCTCTCTCTGTCTCTCTCTCTTTCTCTGGCATCGAAGATCCGGCGCTCTCCGACTCTCCTATCCCCTCAAGTCGCAGAATATTCCGCTCCAACTGCTGTGCTTCGTTTACTTTTTGGTTGTGTTTATTCTCCTCAAACACGCTGTTATATTGTATGGTTGCGTGTAGTCTGTATTGTCGCTGGTGTTGATGGTTACTTTTTCCTCATTGCTCACGCCCATGCGCATTATCTTTGTTTCTGTATTATGTACTGATTTAAACCTGTGCGGAAAAGGTAGCAAATTCGTTTGAGATGTAAGGACAACCAACTGTTTCTTCACGATTTGAATTTTCAACTTCTTCAACTTATATTGAAAATCTGCTTCGCATCAATATTTGGATTTGTGTGATTTTTCAATACTGTGAGCGGATGCACATTTTTCTAATGTCCCCATCTTTGGAAAATTTACCAGTGTTTGAAAGAAATTTCCAGAACGTCAAAACTCACATGAGTCGCATCCTCCGGTCGTTGGTGATAGCCTCCATAGTGGAATAACCAAAAGAGTTTGTGAGAGTAGACTCGGCTTTGCGGAACGAAACCCTAAATCCTTCGACATGGATAGCCAGAAAGGTCCTGTTGACAGTCGTGACGGGCCACAGTCCAACACTGACAACAACGTGAGTCCCGTCAACACGCACGTTTTCATCACTGTCCCAGAGGAAGACTTGGGTTTTCGCGGAAATCTGAAACGATACGGGCGGAAATGTCTCGCTGGCAGCAAGGAAAATGCTCTTCTTATCGGCCTCCTCCTGTCTGTGGTTGGCGGAGTGGTCATCGGCGTGGTTGCCAGAAGCCTGAAAGACAAGTACTCAAAGAGGGAGATCATGTACCTGGGCTTCCCTGGAGAGATTCTCATGAGGATGTTGCAGATGCTTATTTTGCCCATTATCCTTTCCAGTCTCATCTCAGGCATTGCTGGGTTGGATGCTAAAACCTGCGGGAAGATGGGACTCAGGACTATAGGCTACTTCGGGACAACCACATTCCTGGCTGTATTTCTTGGCATAGTGCTGGCTGTAACCATTCAGCCTGGAGGTAACACCGACCTCAGCGAGATGAAGCGATATGGAAAAGCGGAGCAGCTTAACTCAGCAGACACCTTCCTGGATTTGGTCAGGTGAGCCAATATAAAAACATTGCTTTCTTATCCAAACGCTCGCTCAGAACACTGAAAATACACAAAGGAATAATTGAATAAGGCTATACTACTAGAGAATTCGTAATATTTCATTCTGATACAAGGTGAGTGAGTATACATGAAAAATACATGAGCTATAGTCACGTTGCCTTGCATTGATGAGGTTCAGATCTCTGCAGCACAAACAACTAACTGAAACGCCATCGTCCATATTCGCAAAAATAACAGCCGCTACAAATGCTACAACAGTAACAACAACGACAACCACAGCAACCACGATCACGACAACTGTAAAAAATATTAATGATAACAAAAACAATCACCCAGCCACAACATAACTTTCCTTGTCTCTAGGCCCTGGAGATCATCAGGGTCTCTGATGACGTCATGTTTTTCTTTCCCGCTTACACCAATAGAAACGTTCCTTTCACTGTTTATGAAGCTTTCCTCGCTGCGGGGCCAAGCTCCAACCTCGGAGGCATCAACGTTTGGCGGGTGTCTCCCACTCTTTGTCTTTCGTCGAATGCCTGTATATGTGCGTTTGTGTGTGTCTGTGTTTGTGTGTGTGTGTGTGTGTGTGTGTGTGTATGTGTGTGTGTGTGCGTGTGTTTATATGTGCTTGCGTAACGTGTGTATGTGTCCATGTATCTGTATAATTTCTTACTCTTTCTGTCTCTTTGTCTCCCGATTGTGTTTTGTTTGGCTTTTTGTCAGTTTGTCGATTTTTATTACTTAACAATCCGTTTCCATAAGTTCATCCCCGTCTCCTATTCTTTCTCGCAGCC